AACTGGGAACTGAAAGAGTGTGGCTCCAGTGATATAAATGAACCTGTGAAGTGGAACCTGACCCTTTTTAGTAACACTTTTTAAGCAGTCATCTTCATTAAAGATCGCTGTTGTCTATTTCCACCCACTTGAGTGGTGTCAGAATCAAGATTTTAAAAAAGACGTTGGACTTGAAATTATACCCTGTACTACATTGAAAACAAGTTATACTACACAGAAAAATATATTTCAGCTCCCTTGTGACAACTATGTATTCAGGGAGGCCCCAAAGTAAGTACGGTGGTTAATTTAAAAAAAAAATTGACAACGTATAATTAAGTAGCAAAGTTTTAACTTGCTGTATAAAACTTGGAAAATATATTGGACTGCAAACGCTTGTATAAGAAAAAATCCCTCACTGGGGCTAATGTATAAGAGATATAAATTTTACCCTGAACTTTTCTAAAAATAGATATAACAAAAATCTGATTTGTGGACGTTACATAACGTCCGCAACATTTAAACAGTATTTTTTTTCTTTCCTTAAATAACTATGAAAGATTTTAAAGACGTTCTTGCCACATAGCTAGAAAAGCAAAAGAAACATTTTGATAAAAAGAAATCTCTGTTAGGCTGCAACATTTTCCAAATAATGACAGCACAACAATGTTCTGGAATGTAACATGATGTTACCCTTCTTGAACTTAAGTAAAAACATTTTGAAATGGTTTTTAAAAGCCAAAACATTACACCATAAGGCGTAAGACCATATGTCCTGCTAGACAAACTCTAGTTTCACCTAACAAACATTTTGACTCAACATTTTTGACGGTTCAATTGCGCTGAGCTAGTGTGACTTAATTTCCTGCTTTTATGCTAATATTGACAGAGTAACCATTCACTGTACAGATTGGGTTAATTTCAAACTTCTCTGGCCCTGTTCTGATGTCATGCTCAGCATGAAATGTAATGCACATTTGACTCAATTACCAGCTGTTGCTTGGGAAAGGAGCGCACACTCTCCAGGAATCAGAGCCAAGAGAGTGGCAGAAATCAAGGCTAAATGCATGGAACTTGTACGGAATCAATGAAGCATTATCTGATTTCAAAATACATACAATGAGGCTCTCCAACACAGCTATGTCAATAAAAACGATCATGCTCCTTTATTTGACATTATTTTTAATATATAAAAGGTGTATATTTATAATCTAAAATCTAGCCAAAATTGCCACACCCTTTTCATTAAAGCAAGAGGGGGCCCAAATTCTCTACCCCATATTTTGTCAAGAATTGAGTAAGAAAGAGCCATCTCACTTTGTACCACCCCCTC